TTTTTTTTTTTTTTTTTTTTTTTTTTTTTTTTTTTTTTTTTTTTTTTTTGCAAGATTTTTGATCGCATCGCGAATAAAGTGATTAACAATTATACGTGTAATATATATATATATATGCTTAATGTAAAGAGATTATTTAGAATTTTATTTTTTCAGTATTAAATTTAACTTATAAAATTTTCATTCAAGCATAGCTTACTTAAAATTGATAAATCAGTTCTCCCGTTTTTTAATATCTAGAATATCTAGAATTCTAATAAATCATATTTCTAGAATTTGATATTATTTTATAAATAAGTTTTTGTTTAAATTTATGTTAAAAAATTTTAAATATATATGCTTCAAATGAGCGTTCTCTCATTTCTATTTTTCAATATTAAGTATTGAATATCTTAAAAAATTAGACATTTACTTTATTTAAAGATTTATTTAATTAAAAATTAAGTATTAAGAATTTGAAAAATTTAATTTGTGAAAAAGTCCTCATTTCTAATTGATTATGTTTGAAAAATTATTTGTGCTGTGACATTTCTGTTTGAAAAAATTAATTACTCGAAAAGAATTGTTTAGACAGAATATGGACATCCTGTATTTCCAATCCTGACGAAGAGATAAAGATATCACCTTTAGTTTTTGTACGCATAGATGTGCCATAGATCGTGGATTGCTCGCTTCCTCGCGTTCCATTTATGTAATATTAATCCGATCAATGAACGAATGATCGGTATTTCACCTATAAAACGAGTCAAATTAAAATGCGAAGATAAGTAATTGGATTAAGCACATTAATTACATACTCCTATTTAAATTTAATTATAATTTCTTAACTCAATTGAAAATGAAGATTGGGCATTATTGTATATTAGAAATTTATTATATTTGTAAAGAGAATTACAAAAACGGATTTATACAAATTATAAAAAAATTCTATATTTATTTATAATCGGAATAATAGTTTCTTTTTATCTGAACTTTACTGTATATATATATATATATATATATACATTATCATCTACAAGTTTTATATTTATTTTTAATATCTTTTATAATATCTTTTTATCTGCTATAGGCAAACAAGGTGACCGGAGGACCTCCTGTGGGCAACGCACCGCCTCCGCCTACGCTCATCAATAAAATCAAGTATCAACCTGGTGGACCTGTAATCAAAAAGGATAAACGGCAAAGCAGCTCGAGGTTCAATATATCGAAAAATCGAGAATTGCAAAAATTGCCGCTGTTATCCGGTGAGTCATTCAATCAGGAATGTAATTCTTTTTACAATACGACAGTACAATTAATCCCATGTGATAACTCTACCATTCCTGTTAGATCAAGTAAAATAATATTAGCGATCTTTTTACATTTCTCACATTTGTATCATTGATGATTCACATTGTAATAAAAATGAGAAATAAGTATATTTCGAATGTGTTTACATATATACATCAAACGTGTTTACATATATACATCAAACTTGTTTTGCGATTGCTGCAATCTAATATCGACTTGATCAAGTAACACAAAAAAATCACAAGAACCTAGTTCACATAACATTCCGATCATAATCGAATAATTAGATTAGAATAGAGATCGAGTTCGCGGACGTATAGGGTGAGAAACACACAACGAAAAAGTGGATAAGAAGCGAAAAAGAATAACAGGGGAAAGAAAAGAAAGAAGGGCGGCGACAAATTGGTTCGCCTGCCCTTTCCCAATATAATGCCGGTCAATCGAGGTTGCGAGACTACCTCCTACGTCAGAGTCTATCGATTGCGTGCAACGAGGGTCGCGCAAGCGCTCCAGATTCATGATTCCCCGTTTTCCCAACGTAAACAGTCAGGTTCCACCCCCTCTTCCCCTCCTTTTCATCTCACGCCTTCGTTTTGAGCATCCCTTTCTGATCCTTCTCTTCCAACCGCTCCGAGACCAGCGCCCGAACATCCGCGCGGCACCCTCGCGGAGAACCCCACCTGGTCGCGGCTCTACCTGCCCAGAATCTCAGCGAGGGGGGTTGTATCGACCTCGTGACCGATCGAGAGATGACCCGCGAGATCCCGGCGAGGACCCTCGAGTTCGTTGAACCTGGTGCCACTTAGGCGAATCTCACCCGCCAGCCTGTCCCCCTCTTCTCGTCGCCTCCCGCCCCTCACGAACGCGGTCACCGGGTTCCGGGGACCCGCGAGCCGCGAGGACGCGCCGCTAGTGCTTGCCGGTGTTTCATAGGGGTGGCTTCGCAGCGCGAACACCCCGAGAGAAAGGCCGAGAGAAGAGCCTTGCTTTCCCCGGCCGATCGATTGACACGAACGAAGCAACAGATTGTTGCGAGCCTTAAACAACGACAGAAATTAGTGGCGGATGGACTTCGGTGGTGTCAGCGAGATTGTTATCACAAATCCGTTCAGAGAAACTCGGTTAAGGACGGGCGCGTCCAGCTCTCGAAGCTTACGGAGATCTTCGTTGAGTCTAACAAAAGTGGATTATTTCGAATGAATGTAAAACATATCGGAAATAATTGATAAAAATTATCGCTTGGTGATTGATATTTTTATATCGGTTAAAAAGGATAATAGGTATTCAATAGAGGGATGAAGAAAATGTTTAAACCAATCGATGAGTTGAAACAAGTTAAAATTTTTCTATTAGAAGTTAGTGAATTCTTTTAGTTAAAACGCTTCCGATCGAAAATTGGTGAGTCTTCTGATTTAAAAGTTTCCCAATTGAGGAAATGAAGTTTAGTGAATTTTAAGCTCGGAGGAATTCTTAAAGATTTGGTGAGTTATATAATTTACAAATCATGTTTCGAATTTAGTGATAAATGATATAAAAATTTTAATAAAAGATTAAATATTAACATTTATTTAAATCTTTATCTTTGATACTTATACATTATACGCAGAAATAGTTAAGATATGTGGAATTGAAATAAAATTGAAGAATTGAATATGAAGATAAAATTTTTATATATAGGTATTTTGTGAAACCGAATTTATTGAGATACGTTTTGCAAGAAATAATAAACTAAAAATTCGATAGAATTATTGATAGCAATTAAATGATTCATCTTTGCAGAATTATATTGAATACTTAAATAACTTGAATAAAATGTTGATAATCGTTATGTTATTAATGTATATATATTATGGAAATACTGATAATATTAAATATACTTGTATATTATAGAAGAAGGAAGTTAATTGAATTTGTTAATTTGCGGAAAACAACATTCGTAAATTCCACGCATAATTTAGCACATATTAACTTGTAAAATTTATGTATACAATAATTTAATATTATATTGCTTACGCTAAAATATTAAATTCGCTTTGTGCGAAAATATTTTCGCAACTGTGCTGTAACAGACGATTCGTATTGCTTTGCATCAAAGTACAGTTACGTTTTCTGCATGGTTTGGCAAAACGCGTAAAATCACGCGCATTTCCTTCGTAGCGGGATCTATGCGGAAAATAACGTGGGAAGCCAGTAAAAGTGATTTGTCGAAGGCTGACAATCGCCGTTGCTTAATAAAGTTATGCGTCGCATTTCGTTGAGTAAATTGGCGGATAATTGCGAATTACATAATAAAAACATTCTCCGGAAATTGGTTTCCGTCCGAGTAGGTTAAATCTATAAATCCGGGAAAATATTAATTGGCAAACCTGAATAAGTTAACTTGATTAAGTTAATGTTACTTAATAATTAAAACAAAACAATAATTTTTAATTATTGTTTTTCTTTTTTATATAATATTTTCCAAATACATATATGGTTTATACAGTACAGAATAGTTATATAATTTAGAAAAGTTATACATATTTATTACCGATACATATTTTGCCGGTATTTCTACACGTTTATAATATTCAAATATTGCTAAAATTAAGGGAAAATTGTTATCGTATATAACTTTCTAATTTGTTTAGTTTTTTATTTTTTTTAGACTTGGTTCCATTAATGTAAAAACTAAACTTTAATTTCGATTCTATTTACTCTTTATCTTTTTCTAATTCTAAGAATTAGAGAAAGATAAACAGTAAATTGAACTGAGATTAAAGTTAATCTTACATTGGTAGAACCGAACTTGTTCTTATCGACGTAGATTAACTTTACTTTCGGTTTAACTGACTTTTCATCTTTTTCTAATTTAAAAAACCTACAAAAAATAAAAAGTAAGTTAAACTAAGTTTAAAGTTAATCTACTTTGACAGGAACGAACATCAGTCAGATAAAGAACTCTTTTCATCAATCGAACATTCAGTTAACACTAAAATTACCAAAAAATCATTATTAACTAGTTCTATTTTTTAGATTAATATATTTTTGGTGTAAAAGATTAAGATTCTGAATTTTATTAATTTTTCAATAATTATATTCTTTATATTGATGAAATATTTAGTTTTTTATGGTTTTCTTTATTTTTATAATTTAATAATTTATTCTTTTGATCCTTTTAATGAGTAAGAAACGATATTTCTATTGTTAAATAATTTCGAAATAATACAGATTTACTGCAATAATATTTAAAAACAATTATCGATTTTATAAATAAAATGCTATGATGCCATACTGAAAAGAACGAAATAGAATATTATTAATCGCGATTTTAACAGAAGTGTGAATCCAAAGTATTGCAAATTATAAGTAGTTATTGAGACGATACGTAAATAGCAAAACGTATGCTACCCAAGTTTAAGCATCTGAAGAGATTTACCAATGAATAAGGTGCGAGTGTAAAATCGGTATTGAACATAATATTACGCGATGGTTCACGTGGGTGGAATTGGCCCATCTCTGGGTGGCGCTCTGCCCAAAAGTCCCAGCTTTCATCAGGGTCTTGCTTTGGCGACGGTCTTATCCCAGGATTCAAGCAAGGGTTACCCGGTGACGTTCGCGCTGCACTATCAACCTTTGCAACCTCTTCTAATCGGTAAAGCTCTCTATCGCTTAAATTAGTTCATTATCGCACATGATTTTATTATAGAACTATAATCTGTGCACCTGATTTATTTGTTGATATGATAAAACGAAAGATTATATTGATAAATAAAATTATTGAAGGATTAATTTAGCACATTTTATTTTTGTAAAATTTGTATTTTATTGTTCGAGAATGTGATGTCCATGAAATGGCTCGAGGTAAATTCGGCAATCGATCTCGTTATTCCTATTATTATTACAGAGACTTCTAAGAATAGCAAACGATAAATAATGTCATACGGTTACAGTCGGTATTTTGAAGGCCATTATCGATCTTCCTTCAAAACCTACTCAATTAATCAGAAAAAGTAGAGCACCTTTAAG